TATTGCATCACCTACAGGCATCGAGATACCTATAGGCACTTGTGTGCATTTTGTGTTCATTTGGGGATGTGGGATATTACTATTAGGGTGTGGAAGCTTTGTTTCATACAGGGAGTTATGGAGCATCTTCAGGGGATCTGAGACCTAGAAAACAGCAGTGCTATTCAAGGAAGACCATGTTACCAGGGAGCCCAGTTATCAATCAATGTACCACAAAAATTAAACCGTCTCTTAGAACAGCAGTTGAAGCACTGTGGGCAATGAATTCTTAGGGGGTGGCAAAACAGATGAAATCCAGTCATCACATTTTACAACAGATCTGCTGCTTGATAAAGTACAACTGGAGAGCCGACTGTTAACAATAAGGCCATTTCTAAGAATAAAATGAGTTTGTAAAAGATCTGTTTGAATTATTAACTCCAAAAAGTGGCTGGAGAAGAAAATGGTTGCTGGTATCACTGGCTTTTTTCCTCATATGTATGATTAGAACAAAGGGAGGCACGGGAGAGCAGGGGAACGATGTGAAAGCAAATTTCCCTCCGACATAAGGAGGCACATTTTCACGCAGTGCCTCATCGATACATGGAGAGGCCACCTACCAGGTAAAGAAAAACACTGCCACCATTGTGAATGCAAGCAGATGCCGAGGCAGGGGAAAACAACACTCAGTTTTTCCAAATATTATCTCTCTCTCTCTCCCTCTTTTTTTTTTCTTCTTCGCTTGCGGTCCTTTGATACCAAGTGGACACATCCAGCCCCTACCATGCATCGTGTAGACTTCCACTCTCAAACTCCTCAATCCAGACTCAATTTAAAAACTGTGGTGGTAGAGGTCACAGGGAAAAAAATCAAGGTGACCATTAATATCTTCTTGCTCTGAAATAACAAAAGGAGCAGGAATCGATATGAAAAGACAATGTTAGTGTTCTCCAGGTCAATATTTTCACCACAATAATGATGTGATTTGAAATCTTTCATCCAAAGCAGAGAATCATATTAAACAGGTCACAGTAGTCAATGGTCTTTGATTTCATAAACATGTTTCCTCTGTGTTGTAAGGAGGCAAGAGAGGCATTCTGGTTCCAGAAGGAAAAAAAAAAAAAAAGACGTATAGTTACGAAACCCAGTCCAGCCAAGAAAAACCAAGCTGTGCTAATACTGCTGCTGACCTGGTCAGCATCTTGCTCTGCAGGACAATGCAGAGGTGCTCACAACACTTGCAACACACCCACATCCACCTCTTCAAATCACATCAACAGACAATCCCCAAAGCTTCTCAAAGGATGTGCAGTATGACCTCTCAGAGAGTATGGGTTCCATCAACCGTAGGTACTGTGCACAGCAAGGTCGATGTTTCCAGTTTATAGTCCATTGTTAAACATGCATGCCTCTCTTACATAAAGCCATTGAATGCTAGTTCTGTTGAATAAAATTTAGGCAATTAAAGCTTAAATAGCCCATCTATGTTTTAAACATGCTGGGAGTAGGGTTTACATTTCAAATATTATAAGTCTGATCCAGGTATTTCAAGAAAGACATAATAAGAGATCCAAGATAAGAAAAAAAAGGGGAGTCGCTACGGAAATACTTAATCTAAAAATCTCAGCAGAGGGAAAAGCATATGGTCACAGGTTATAAAATCGCTGTGGGAAAAAGAGGCTTGTTCATCAAGTTCTAGAATAACAGAGTCCTTGGAAGAAGAGGCTTTGGGTTGAATGGTTATTGTTTCTCAGTGTTGATAATCTAAGGAAGTTCTTCCTACAGCCAAGAAGTCCTGGATTTAGAAAGCCAGTGTTTTCTAAGAAGTTGATGTGGGATCCAAAAAGACTTGGTTTCATCTTATTTTTATTTATTTACTCTATGCTAGAGACACTTGGGAGTACTTTTTTTTAAAATCCATGAAAAAAATTAAATACGTGTTCTCTTTTGAAAAACGTTTTTTGCTTGTTTTCACTTTACTTGAAGGGCAGAGAGATAAGGAAAGATCCCCCATCCACTGATCCACTCCCCGAACGCACAAGACAGCAAAGGCTGGGCCAGACAAAAGCAGGAGCACAGAACTCCATGAAGATCTCCCTCATGGGACTCAATACCTGAGCCAGCATCCACTGCCTCCCAGAACACACACTAGTAGGAAACTGAGTCACAAAAGGAGTGGGATGTGAACAAGGCACGGGCATAAGGTATGTAGGCATACCAAAAACGGAATCTTAACCACGAAGCCAACCACCTACTCCATAAAGTATTTTTTATTTATTCAGAAATTAGAGTTAGAGGGAGAGGGAGACAAAGAGAAGCAGAGACACAGGGAGGGAGAGAGATCTTGTGTCCTCTGATTCACTCATGAGATGCCCCCAAATGCCAGAGCTGGGCAATGTTGAAGCCAGGAACTGGGAGCTTCCTCCATGCTTCACACATGGGTTGTAGAGTCCTAAGTAATTGAGCCATTCTTTGCTACTTTCCCAAACCATTAGCAGGGAGCTGGATCAGAACTGGAACAGCTGGGATATAATGAATAGAAGCTTATAGGAGATGCTGATGTCACAGGCAACACCCTTACCCACTACCCCACAATGCTGGCCCCAAGAATTGTTATCTTGGACCTGGTATGATGGCTCAATGGCTAAATCCTCACCTTGCAAACTCCAGGAGTCGATCTGGCCACTGATTCATGTCCCAATTGCTCCACAGACCATGCAACTCCTTTCTTGTGGCCTAGGAAAGCAATCAAGGAAAGGCCAAAGCCTTGGGACCCTGCACCCACTTACTGGCTCCTAATTACAGATCACCTCAGCTCTGGTTGTTGTGGGTACTTGGAGAATAGACCAGTGGATGGAAGATCTTTCTCTCTGTTTCCCTTTCTCTCTTTAAATCTGATCTGCCTTTCCAATAAAAATAAATCAATCTTAAAATTTCTTATCTGAATTTAGTAGCAAATATAGAGAGTGCTAAAAAAGCAATGTATCTGGGCCCGGCGCAATAGCGTAGCAGTTAATGTCCTCACTTTAAATGCACTGGGATCCCATACGGGCACCAGTTCCAATCCTGGCAGCTCCACGTCTCACGCAGCTCCCTGCTTGTGGCCTGGGAATGCAGTTGAGAACAGCCCAGAGCATTGGGACCCTGCACCCGCGTGGGAGACCTGAAGTAAGTTCCTAGCTCCTGTCTTTGGATCGGCTCAGCTCCGGCCATTGTGGTCACTTGGGGAATGAATCATCAGATGGAAGATCTTTCTCTGAAAGAGATCTTACATCTGAAAGTAGAATGATCATCTGAGGCCGCTTTGTACCCCTAAGGTATAAACACAAATGGAGACAAGGGCTCAGATACTAATAAATAGTTGATCAAATGCATTAGCATTGTATATCTTAGAAGGTGTTAGCAGAATGTTAATATTGTAAACAAATGAATCAGTGATAAGACAACAGAACCTAAAAAGGAAAAGAAAAATTGTAGATGACAGGATAAATAGGCCTAACAGGGGAAAGTATCTCTCACAGAAGATGAAACGACACTTAAAATGCTAGTGTAAAACATAAGAGGAAATAGGTTAGGAGAATAAAAAGAAAGATAATGTGAAACAAAGTTTTCCAAAAATAAGACACCTACTCTTATGCATGGGCAACCCATCTCTCTGTGGGTAGTTTTGCATCTATGAAAGCCCAGGGGAAACTATCAGACCAAAACAGGAAGCCATGCATGTGTTCTCAAGCGGAAGTCAGCACGACTTGGCCCTGTGCTCTCTGGTATGCATCCTGCTTGCCACAAAACACAGATTCCTTATGACAAATTATACTCAGAGGGGTGGGCATTGAGCCTGGCAATGAAGACATCGCTCAAGATGGCCAAAGCACATTTCAGAATGCTTCAGTTCAGTTCCTGGCTCTGGTTCCTAGTATGGCTTCTTGTTGGTGCAGACCTTGAAAGGCACACGATGACGGCTCAAATACACAGGGTTCCTGCCACCCATGAGGGGAAACTTGGATTGAATTCCGGAGTTCTGTCACCACAGTTCAGACCGTTCAGTCCCAGCCTTCCCAGGCATCATTCGGGGAGTAAACCAGCAGACAGGATCTCTCTCTCTCTCTCCCTCTCTCTCTCTCTCTCTCTCTCTCCCTCTCTCTCTCTCTCTCTCTCTCTCATTCTCTGTGTGGGTGTGTGGGTCTGTGTGTGTCAAATGCTCACTTTTTTAAAGTTTCCTTAAAAATGAGACAGTTATCAGTATTACATATCACAGTAGTGCTTTCAGATTCTGGTGACACATCTTGAATTTCCCAGCACACGTACTCTGAATGCCAAAAGAACATATCCTCTCCAAAACTTATTCACTGACGCAACTGCGAATGACTCTTTTGAAATTCACTCATCCTCACAATTCGTGCACTCAATGTCCAATATAGGCTATCATGAGGAATTACCTAGAAGTAGAGACTTACTCTGACCATCTTCAATTTTTTCTTATTTATTTGAAAGGACAGAGCCAGAGGGAGATCTTCAATCCAGTGGTTACTGCCCAAATGATCCTAATAGTCTGAGATGAGCCAGGACAGAACTGGGCGCCTAGAACTCAGGTCTCCTATAAGGGTGACAACAGCCCAGTCACTGCAGCCATCATCTGTTGCACCCTCCCCCGCCCCCACACCCTATGGTGGGAATTAGAAGCAACGTGGAATGGGAAGTGGAGCTGGAATTGACACTGATATAGGATACAGGCATCTCCGGCAGCATCTTAACTGCTGTGCCAAACCCTTGTTCTGTCATAAATGTTTTAAAACTAAACTGTACATTTAGTTTCCAATGACAGCCTGAAGACTCCATCCTTTTCTTTTTAACATTTGTTTCTTTTTATTGAAAAGACAGACTTACAGAGAGAAGGAGAGACAGAGAGAAAGATCTTCCATCTGTTGCTTCACTCTCCAAGTGGTCACAACAGCCAGTGCTGAGTTGATCTGAAACCAGGAGCCAAAAGATTCTTTCAGGTATCCCGCATGGGTGCAGGGTCCCAAAGCTGTGGGCCATCCTTTGCTGCCTTTCCAGGCCACAAGCAAGGAGCTGGGTGGGAAGTGGAGCAGCTAGAATAGGAACCAGCATTCTTATGGGCTCCTGGTGCATGTAAGGCAAAGATTTAGCCACTAGGCTATCACACCAGGCTCCTGAAGACTCCATTCTTATCAGGAAAAATTCCTGAATATTTTCCAACAACCATATATCTTTCCCAAATTTCAGACTAATTTTGTATTATATATACATATATACATATATATATGATGCCAAAATCTTAAAACTTGGACATTCTGACCAATAGAAGCATTTTTAACAGTTTTTTTTTCCTTTTGAAATTTGCAGGAAGAAAATAAAGAAAGCAGCCACACTGAATAAATTATAACTCCTGACAAAAACAGTAAACAAGAGAATTAGATGGACACTTTGGTTGGGTTCATATAGGTCATGAGACTCGAACACTAAAAAATGAGAAAGAAGAATTAACAGCTTTAGAGAATCTCCAAAAATGGCATTCTGTGGCAATATGTTATACCTAACTATAAAATGTATATGTGTTTATAAGTAGGGATCAGACTTGGGTTTGTGGGAGTCATAAAAAAAAAAACAGACATTTGTAGTTTTGTCAGGAAAACCTTGAAGGCTGGCGTTTCTGCCATGAAACCAATGCAGAAAAGTACTTTGTAAAGCAAGAGAGATGGAGCCAGTTAGCTTATAAATAGATCTAATTCATATACTCATTCATTCATAATTTAAATCCTCAAATAAGAAATATGGAATGTTCTAAAATTAATCTCCATTCCTATTTCAGTGTATCCTGGGATTCAAAAGAAAGAGTTTGGGCATAAATAAAGGCATTATCTTTAGGTGAAAGATAAGGCCTGTTATTCTAAGACAGGGCAGGCAGGTGTGCCCAGTGTGCCCCCAAAAGTTCTACAAATGATTCTAGTGCACCCTCAGAGTGCACAGGAGAGGGTTGCTGTGTTTCACTCTGCCCACCTGCACTTCAGGCCAACTTGTTACACCATCTTAGCTTCCAGGTCCCACAGCTCAGCTTCTGGCATTGCTGGAACGTTTCCGGAGTCTGACATTCTTGTGCTCGCCATGCAACCAAGACACTCAGCCGATAACCATCCATATAGCACAACTAAATGCAAGCTGGCAGAGCCAATCAACAACATTGGCTTACTTCCATTAGCATACCTTATGGGAAATGTGCTTTGAGTAACACTTAGAATTATGTATTTGTTATCTATCACAAATGTCCTTTGCCATCTAGAAAACACATCCTTGAAAGTTTTAATTTAAGGCAAGAGATGGTGTGGTGGTTGCCAACAGTTTCAAAAACTGCTGAAAAAAGCAAAGCTTAAACAATGACCATGAGCATTTGCTCTTCTATAGGAACTGAACACATTCTCTTGCTATCATAAGAACCAAAGTAATTCATTTATTTTTGTGATATTTACTTATTTGAAAAGCTGAGTTTCAGACAGAGAAAAACACATATACAAGAGGGAACTTCCAACCACTGGTTCACTCCCCAAGCAATCATAATAGCTAGAGCTGTTCCATACAGGAATCAGAAATTCCAGTTCTTCCACCTGGGTAGCAGAGGCCCAAGTATTTGGATCATCTTCCACTGCTGTTCCAGACACACTGGAAGTAGAACAGATGGCACTCAAACCAGAGCTCATTCAGGGTGTTGGCATCACAGACACTGGCTTAACATTGCACTACAACACCAGTCTCTGATTCATCAATTCTTGATAAAGCAGAGACATATAAAAGAGTTTAGACAGTCGCAAAGAAATGAATATTCCTGAGGAAACTTTGAAGTGACATTTTAGATTTCAGAGAAAAAGCAAAAAACATACAAATAAAATGAGTGTAACATCAGGGTGGAGATATATTGAAGATTTATTGACCAGGGAGAAAATCAACCTGGTTGAATACAGAGCATCTATACCCACGTAAGTCAGTGAAAAGTTTCAGAAAAACGAGGGAAAAACCACACTTCCAGAAGACTGTCTGAGGATAAAACTTCAGGAAGAGTGACAAAATCTGCGTGTAGCAACTATGAAGGCTGATTGAGAAAGGACCAGTCATCCCACATGATGCCGACACCTGCCATTCCTTTTCCATGGGGCTCCTCCATCAGGAAAGCCATGCTGCTCAAAGGAGAGTCATTAGAAGATAGCCTGCAGGACCCAGAGCATAAACTTACTCCATTTCAGTTCTCTAGACACACACCTGCCTGTACAAATCTTCAGCACACGCTACATTCATCCTGTGGGAATTAAAAACGTTTCTCTTAATAGCATCACTCTTAAAGCAGCTTCCTTGGTGTCACCCGCACTTCCTGTCAGCACCAGAAACATGGCTACAGCCATCAAAAATCATAGCTCTTCAGGAGAACAAAGACTCGCACTTGGGGGAGTTTATGTCTACCTGCAAGTCATATTCCTGCTCCTCCAAGCTGCTGCAGGGTGGCTCCTGTGAATTTTGTGGACATTGTCAGCACTGATTGTGCCTGAAGAAATCCAACATTGTATTTCTGGACTTAACTAGAATCAAAACCAAGTCAACAACCCAAGTGATGCCCTACATTCCATCTAATCAGAAGTCTTCTCTGGTGAAATCTACTAAATAATAACTGAAAAATGATCATTATGCCAGGTGTCTAGATGTCCTGTAGGGACATCATAAGAGTGGGAAAGCCTGGAAGCATGAAACCCCCAGAAGAACGCAGTAGTTCTCCAAAACCAGATAGCGATCTTTACGTTTCTTTCAGGAAATCTAAGAAATGCCTAAAAATACTTCAAAATAAGGATTGCAAGGCAGGCTAAGCAGATGTGAAAGAACACAGGCAGACAGCTTAAATAAGTGAAAAAAGCATACAATGACATGAATGAGGAATAAAGATAGAAATCACTGAAAAGAAGCAAAATGAAATTTGGGAGCTGAAAACTTCAGTCAATGAAAAAGAAAATATCTTTGAGAACAGAACAAAAGCAGAACAGACCAAGCAGAGGAAAGAACTTCTGCTCTAGAAGGTAAGACTTTGGCAACAACCCACCTCAGACAAAAATGAAACAAATTAAAAAGAATGAAGAAAGCCTACCTGGCATATATTGGATACTATTAATTGGAAAAAAAATCCCCTATCATAAGGACACCTTACATAGAATAAAAAAAGATGATGTGGGACATTGAGAGCCTACCAAAAAGATATAATGGTTGAAAACCTCTGAAATTCTGATATAAACAGTTCGGAGAAGGCCGAAAGGATCCCAACCAGAAGAAGAAAATGTAAGGAAAACATTTCAAGAAACTGTCATGGGTGACAATTTCTTGGGCAAGATCCTCAAAGCACAGACAACACAGGAAAATGAGACAAACCGAATTGTTCAAAACTCAGGAACTTCTTCCCAACAAAGGAAGCAATCAGCAGAGTCAGAAGAAATCAAACAGGAAAAACATTTGCAAGCGACCTATCCGATGACAAATTAATATTCAGGCTATATCAGCAAGTTGGAATGCTCAAAAATAAAACAAGCAACCAATCTAGGTAAGACATAGGCAAAGGACCTGAGTGAATTCTCAAAAGAAGAAATACAAACGGCCCACAAATACATGCAATATGAGCTCGGTATCACTAACTGTGAGGGAAATGCAAATCAAAAAACCACACTGAGATTTTGCCTCATTCCTGTCGTACTAGTATTGAAAAGACAGAGAGTAACAACTGCTGGTGAGAACGTGAAGACAGGGGAACTCTTACACATTGTTGATGGGAATGTACATTAGTACAGTGATCGCAGGAAACAGCACCATGGTGTCTGCAAGAACTAGGGAGTCGGCGTGGGTGGAAGCTCTCTCCCTCTGCTTCCGTGGCTCTGAGTTTCAAGTAAATAAGAAATCTTTAAAAAGCAAAAATGGTTTTGTTTATTAAAAGGCATTAACATGAGATACTAACAAGGGGAATGGGAAGTATATAAAAATTTTTATATTACCAACACAATTTTGGTTTGCAAAAGTAAACCTGTTTTGAAATAAAATGTTGTAAAATGACAAGAAGATTTATAAAACATTAGCAATCTGTTAAAATGTTGTTTGCCTGTGTCCCTTGTTCAATAAGGATTTCCAATGTTGCTTTCAAAACGTAAGTCCAATTATTTTCACTGTCATCTTTTGGTATTAACTGGAGGATATTCTATCCATTGTGAATTAAGGAAAGAATTCAGCAGGAGGTTGTGCAAACCTGGAGCGGACAGAAAGTGAAAATTTCACAGTATTGGTGAAAACTTTATTCACGAAATAAATTTCATACATCATGATATTCATCGATTTCCCCGTCAGAAAGCAACAGATTACATTGTGAGGTATACTACTTACAATGAATCAAACTTCTCTTCAAGTCCCACTTTTTCTCAAGTTTTCTCAGTGAATTTATAAAAGGAGTAGGAAGAGCTTGTGGTCAGTATCAGTAGAAAACAAAAGGCACGTGGTGCGAGAATAAGGCATGCTGGGTTCCTTTGCTTTCCCTGGTGGCCCTCTAACACAGCCCACATTTTGTTGATGCATTCCAGTAAAAGATACTGGCACATCATTTTTTAAATCTGTCCTATTTTTTAAATGCTCAAGGACAGCTTATTATTTAAAGGACTCCCCTTAGTTCATCATATATGTCTAAGTTCTAATTTTAGCATTTACAACTTTCCTAAAGCGTAGCACGTCAGAGCAGTATTCCGTCTCAGTATCAGTGAATGAGTTTGCTCCACCAGCATGTCAGGTTTCAGCATCTTGGTTTTGTATTTTGTTCTACATCACAATTTCAGAGCCTTTTTTTGCAACTACCTATTCAATTCTAATTTGAATTTTGCTGGGTGGGTTAAAGCTTTCAAGTCCTTTCTCAACTCTTCTTTAAGATGCTTAGTTTAGCACCTTACATCCCCCCCTCCCCGCCCCAACCCACCGCCACCACAGTTTTATTTGTGCATAATTCTTCGGCACCCCAGGCGGCAGGCTCTGAAACAGTTGTCGGGCTCTCTGTGGCCCCCAAACCAGCCCAAGGAATGAAGGAATATTGGCAATTTGGGAGCATCATGAAGGATTTGGTGCCTGGGGTAATGTGTGTTGTTTGTTGAGTGAATTAGCACCTCAGAAAAAAGATCGTAAAAAAGGTGTTCCGGATGGCATGGAGTGCAAAAACTGGGAGGTTTGTTCAATCTGTCTCAGCATTATCTGGTGCTCTGTCAGCACTATCCAAATTTCAGACTGTGGTTAGAAATTGATAATCTGGAAAAGCTCTTATAACCGGTATTCATAGTAAATAAAGATAGAATTTTCAAAGAATGTCAGCTGGAATCCACGGTCTTGGGGGCTCTTTTAATGTAAATATAGCTTGCTTGCTCATGGAGCGTTCACACGCCTATCTTGTTCTTTTGTGCTCTCTCGCTGTAGTGTGGAGCAAATTTCCCAGGCACCTCAGTTCCGGTAATTTTATTATTCTGCACTTTCACGATAAATCTACAGTGACTATTTCAGGATCTAAATAAATAAAGCAGGTGAAAGGACATCTGCGTTATTACGGTAGTAGCAATAATAGCCCAGTTATGTGAAAACTGGGACGCAGTCACAGTCTAAGCCATTTACATACATCTTGCCTTTATAATAACGCTACAACTTAAGTACTATTATCTGTAATTTACAAATAAAGAAAGTGAGCCTTTACACGCCTGAAAATACCATGTCACTTTGACTCCAAAGTCTAATTGTTTAACCTTACCCTACATGGCCTCTCTCCACAATGAATTTAAATTTATTTTACAAATACAGAACACTCTTTAAATGTTAGATGATACTTGTATCTTGGCTGCTTGGAAAAGGAGTCCCATTGAAAGCAAGCA